CACAAAGTTCTTTCTTTTTTTCTATTTCTTCTTTTCTTTTGATTTTCATTTGTCTTCTTCTTTTGTGTTTTCTCATGTCTTCTTTCAATTTTTCTTCTTCTTGTTTAAGAATTCTCAACTTCTCTTCTAGGATAGCAAGTTTGGCCTCTCTTTCAATTTTCTCCTTCTCTTATTGAAAGGCCTCTTGCTTCTTCCATAGTTTAAGTGATTTTAGCTCTTTTGTTAAGTAAGAAATGCTTTTAGGAGAGCTATCACTTCCACTATAGTTGGATTGTTGAGACATTTTAAACAACAAGATTTTTCTCTTCGCACAAAAAAAGATTTTAAGAAAATAATATTTTTGGAAGTGCTAGACTTGGCACTTGGAGGTCTAAGAGTACAAATTAAACTTTGGAGGGAGGTGAGCTACTAAAAAGCCACTTAATAACCAAGCCTCTTCAAGTAAAAATCTCTAAACCCTTTTGTACGTTTGCCTTGCACAAAGCAATTTTCACAAAGATATTTTCAAAAAGAAAATAACACACAAGTGCCTAAAGTGTACAATTAATCAATGCTTGAAAACATAAAGTGCTTGAAAACATAAATGGCATGAAAACATAAATTGCTTAAAACATAAATTGCATGAAAACCTAAATTGCAAGAAAAATTAAAGACAAGAAAACATAAACTAGGCGTTTAAAGCAAGTTAACCTAGGTGAGAGCTTGGAATGTACCAAAGAGTTCCAAGGACCACTCTCACATGTACTAAACGAAATTACCTACTTGAAAACTCTAAGGAGAGATGGAGATACACCAAAGGCACTCCAAGACACTCCTAATAAAGGCCTTGTACAAGTTAAGAAAGAAATGAAAAATTTCAAGAAATGGAATGTAAATTTACACCAAATGAAATGCAAATTTCCACCAAATGAAAGGTAAATTCACACCAAATGAAATGCAAATTCACACTAAATGAATGCAGTGGCTGCACCTAATTTAAAAAAAAAACAAAATTCAGCCACTAAGTTAGTGACAAATTTAGAGACGGATTTGGTGTTGAAATTTTTTTTTGAAATGAAATTTCGTCACTAAATTGGTTACTAAATTTTTCACAAAATTTTCACAAAAATTTTATTATGTTCTTCCAAGCTTCTCCTTGTTGCAGCAACCTCTCCAAGTGTATCTCTCCTCTCTTAGGAATAACCTTGATGTTGGTTATTCCTAGGTGTTTGACTCCCACCAAGAGCTTTCCACCAAAGAGAATATCAATCTCCTAGGCTTCCACAAACACTTCAAGATGCTACCCTTGTACTTGGCTTTCCACACCTTCAAAGAGGAACTCGACACTCTCCCCCTTACCTTAAGGTTGTTTATCTTTCTCTTTTTATCTCACTTTTCTCTTTGGCTTCTTCATTCACTATCTCTTTCTTTTTTTTTCTTCTTTCTCTCTGGCTGTTGAAGAGCTTTGTTTTTCCACTTCTGTTAAGCTGTTGAAGTGCTATTTATAGGCGTTTGCCCAGGTGCATATACATTCTTATGCGTGACTCAATGTATGGAAAAGTTATATATATATTTTTTCAAAAAGTATATAAGGCCCTAGTAGGAGTTGAACCCAAGAGCCAGTACCCATAACCCTTAAGCACAACTAATTCAACCACTAAACCATTTCATTTTATATGTCTATAACCTCATGCAAATTTATAATAAGTTATTTTTTTGTAGATAATACTTTCTAAATTGTGGTTTTTCAGTTTTTCCTATATAACTTTAGCAACTTAAGGTGTGTCGAGTTCCTCTTTGAAGGTGTGGAAAGCCAAGTACAAGGGTAGCATCTTGAAGTGTTTGTGGAAGCCTAGGAGATTGATATTCTCTTTGGTGGAAAGCTCTTGGTGGGAGTCAAACACCTAGGAATAACCAACATCAAGGTTATTCCTAAGAGAGGAGAGATACACTTGGAGAGGTTGCTGCAACAAGGAGAAGCTTGGAAGAACA